GCAGACCTCAGTATGAGCATCACAGCATACAAAAACACAAGACAACAATGACTAGGCAGCAATCGGTAAAAATTTTTGCTGCATCTTTAATTTCTCAAAATAACTTTGGAAATTTTTCATGTGAAAATCCAAAAATATTGGGACATGCTAACACAGGTCTCTATGAACTTGTCTTGGAAGCTGAGCACAAGGCAGGTCTATTAGACTCCGCTACTGGTACAAGCTTGTTTGCACTGCAGTTAATGATTCAGTTTGTGCATTTTCTTTTTGGAAAAGGTGGGTGGTTTTTTTCATCTTTGCATGGAAATTTGTATAAAAATAACTTTAAAAAATCTTCACAACACATAATGACAGCTTGACAGCTAAAAAATTATTTTACTCTTCTGGTTATGAAAATATTCGCTCTTACATACCCTTAACTTTATTTTGTGCCTGAGTAAACCAAGCTTGGAACAGGACAAGTACTTACACTCACCAAAACTGTCAGTTATGTTTCCTTATATATAAAATTATACTGTATAATATAAACTAATACAAAGCTTGCTTCTATGAAGCCCTGCACTACAGGGCATTATCCAGTTCACAGTGTCTCTACCTCATCATTCTATTTTCTGTTGAGGCATTTTTTTAAATTCTTCAATGATGACTTGCAAGAGTTTATGCTTTGTTTTTATACTGGAGTTTAAAGGAAATAAAACCAGCAAAATTTACACTGGTTTTAGGATTAGTCTTTGCTTTCAAGAATGCATAACAGATTTACTAAATCTTAAAGGATCCGCTGTTCCAAGATAGCAAAACCAAAAGGCATCTTTAATGTGCCTTATCCAAAATGGACACCTAGCTACTCTGGAAAGACTCTGAATCACAATGCTTCTTCCTCTTCTCGGTGCTTAGCATTCAGCTTCTTGCAACTTCCAGAATCAACTTCAGTTGTTCACTGCTCAAAGACACGTTGGTGGTATATGCAGAGTTTTCTCTTTTTTTTTTTTTTTTTTTTTTTTTTCTTCTTTTTAGAAGCC